ACACACTCTCACACACACACACGCTCTCTCACATAGACACACACACTCTCACATAGACACACACACACACACACTCACACATAGACACACACACACACTCTCACTCTCACACACACAGACACTCTCTCTCACACACAGACACCCACTCTCTGTCTCACACACACATAGACACACTCTCACACACACACTCTCACATAGACACACACACACACACACTCTCACATAGACACACACTCTCACATAGACACACACTCACACATAGACACACACACACACTCCCACGATGACACTATGACCCTGAGCATCTCCAAACCCAATGCAACACCACCACCTGCTGGCAGCCATGGGAAACTTCAGGTGCTGAGCTGGTGTTGGAGCACAGAGAGAGAGTCATTGAGTCACCCAGCATAGAAACAGGCCCTTCGGCCCACCATGTCAATGCTGACCAATAAATTACAAACTACACTAATCCCACTAACCTGCCCTTGGTCCATAGTCTACTATGCTCTGGTTCATCCAGATGGTCCTTAAACGTAGTGAGAGCCCCTGCCTCCACCATCTCCTCTCCAGCAGCACCTTCCATATTTCCACCATATTTCTGGGTGAAAACATTTTTTTCTCACTCTCTAAACTCCTCACCCTCCGGTCTTCGACCTGTCTACAATACTGATGAGATTCTCTTGATCTCCTCTGTCTATGCCTTTCATGAGTTTGCTTCCCTCAATGTTTGTTCAAGATGCTTTTAAACTTTTGTTAACAATGAAAACGCAATGATAATACCAACCGTTCCGTCTCATAACTTCTGGTATCAAAATCCCACACTTGCAGGTTTTCACTTATCTTTGGAGGTCATTAATCTGGATGCCGGACTTTCTGTCATATCTTGCTCTCTCAAAGAACCGTTTGCTCTAATCTTACATAAATATCAAAACCTGTCAGAACATCTTCAAACGTATCTGTGGCTTTGCGTATACTTTGGCAACTCTTGATGTTATCTGCTGAACACAATATGTATTTGCTCAGAAGGGTTCTGAAGAAGCATTACATTGGACTGGACGCATTAACTGTACTGCTCTCTCCAAACCTGCTGACTTCCTTCAAAACTTTCTGTTCTTCACTCCAGTGCGTTGACTTGTTCAAATTAGGGTTTGGTATTTAACTTTGAATCAGTTCTGTGTGTGGCTTTAAGAGGTTATTTTTACACTGTTTCTGTTTTAATTTGAAGGGAGATTTTAGGACAGAGGTGCTGAGCTCTCCACTTGGAAGGTAAAGTAAAGTAAGCAGCTAGTGAGGCCTTTCTTTGGGGTTTATTTTTTAAAGTGGGAACAATAGAAGCAGCCTGGCTGGGTGTGACCAGCTCTCACAGAACCAGGGTTTCCGGTTTCCCTTTTAGTTTCTACGTTTAGCTTTTGGCAGTTGCTGTTGTGGGAAGTGGAAACTATTTTGTCCCCTCTCCCAGTTACAGCCAGAAGCTGGGGGCTCTCCCTCACCTTGAGACAAAATCCGTTTTCCGAATATACCTTGTTTTTGTCAAAGGGTGTGTAAATTGGCTGTTACTATTTGGAATAGTATTTACTATACAGTAACTACTAGTTACTATATCTATTCTTCTGTTAAGTTTTCCAATAAAGTTAAGTTATTCTAAGTTCTTCTTTCTTTTGTTTGCATTTTAAGTCTAGTGTTTAAATAAATGGTGCTTTGCTTAACTTTGAATAGTTCGACCAGTCACATTGCATCTGGAAGACAGCACATTACGTTTGTCTTAAAAATGAGTAAAAGTTAGGGTTGAGGCTACTTTCTTAAAATATTTTGAGTGGGTCGACCTGCTATTGTGTCTGCTTCCCCCACCTCCTCTGGCAGCGCGTTCCAGGCGCTCACTACCCTTTGTGTGAAAAACTTACCTCACGCATCTCTTTTAAACTTCCCCCTCTCGCACCTTGAACCTGCGTCCCCTACTAATTGACCCCCCCCCCAACCTGGGTAAAAGCCACATACTTTCCCACTCCATCCACACCATTAACAATCTTATAAATTTCTATCAGGTCGCCCCTCCCCAAACCTCTTGCGTTCCAGTGAAAACAAACCCAGTCTATCTAACTTTTCTTCCTAGCTAAAATCCCCCCATACCAGGCAACATCCGGGTAAACCTTTGCCGTACCCTCTCCAAAGCATCCACATCCTTCTGGTGGTGAGGTGACCAGAACTGTACGCAATATTCCAGTGTGGCCTAACTAACTAAAGTTCTGTAAAGCTGCAACATAACTTGCCTATCCTTATACTCAATGCCCCTTCCAATGAAGACAAGCATGCTATAAGCCTTTTTTACTGCCTTATCTACCTGCGCTGCCACCTTTAGTGATCTGTGGACCTGTACACCCAGATCCCTCTGCATATCAATACTCCTAAGGGTTCTGCCATTCTCTGTATAATTCCCATCTGTACTTGACCTTCCAGAATGTATCACCTCACATTGTCTGGATTAAACTCCATCTGCCATCTCTCTGTCCACACCTCCAGCTGTATCCTGCTGTATCCTCTGACAATCCTCCTCACTATCCACAACTCCACCAATCTTTGTATCGTCCACGAACCTACTAATTAGACCAGCTACATTTTCCTCCAAATCATTTATGTAGATCACAAACAGAGGTCCCAGCACTGATCCCTGTGGACAACCACTAGTCACAGCCCTCCATTCCGAAAAATATCCTTCCATCGCTACCCTCTGTCTCCTATGACTATCCAATGGACTATCCATTTGTATCCATTTTGCCAGCTCACCCCTGATTCCATGTGACTTCACCTTTTGTACTGGTCTGCCATGAGGGATCTTGTCAAAGCTTTACCAAAGTCCATGTAGACAACATCAAGTGCTTTTCCCTCATTAATCATCTTCATCCCCTCCTCAAAAACCTTAATCAAGTCGGTGAGGTATGACCTCCCCTGGACAAAACCATGCTGTCTATTGCTATTAAGTCCATTTGCTTCTAAATGCATATAGATCTAATCCCTGAGAATCCTTTCCGGTAATTTCCCGACCACCAACGTGAGACTCACAGGCCTGTAACTTCCTGGATTATCCCTGTAACCCTTCTTAAACAGTGGGACAACAGTGGCTATTCTCCAGATATGATTCTATTGGTCCACCGCTAGGCTTTAAGCAAAACACACCACATTTCTATTTTGTTACCATCCCCACCGCTCCCGCTCCCCCCCCACCAACCTCAGCATTTAGTGTCCCACAGCACCCATGTTGTGTGTGTGTGTGTGTAACTGCAGGGACTCAGTGAACACACCATCGTGCAAATAATTTTATTCAATATTTCCACCACCAGGAAAAGCCCCACGTAGTAAGGGAACCCTCAGACCATAAGACATAGGGGCAGAAATTAGGCCATTCGGCCCATTGAGTCAATCATGGCGGATAAGTTCCTCACCCCCGTACTCCCGCTTTCTCCCCGTAACCCTCGATCCCCTTGATAATCAAGAACCTGTCTATCTCAGTCTTAAATGTACGCAATGACCCGGCCTTCACAGCCTTCTGTGGCAGTCAATTCCACAGATTCACCACTCTCTGGCTGTAGAAGTTTCTCTTTACCTCTGTTCTAAAAGGTCTTCCCTTTACTCTAAGGCTGTGCCCTCGGGTCCTAGTCTCTCCTACCAATGGAAACATCTTCCCAACACCCACTCTATCCAGGCCATTCAGTATTCTGTAAGTTTCAATTAGATTCCCCCCTCATCCTTCTAAACTCCAATGAGTATAGACCCAGAGTCCTCAAACGTTCCTCATATGTTAAGCTTTCCATTCCTGGGACCAATCTCGTGAACCTCCTCTGAACTCTCTGCAGGGCCAGTGCAAACTTCCTGAGATATGGGGCCCAGAACTGCACACGATACTCCAAATGTGGCCTGACCAGAGTCTTATAGAGCCTCAGGAGTACATCCCAGTTTTTATATTCAAATCCTCTCAAAATAACTGGCAAAGTTGCTACTGACTCAACCTCAAGAGTAACAGGCAAAGTCGAATGGGGGTAACACTTACAAAAGTGAAGGGGGGGGTAAAGGATTAATTAGTAATAGAAATTGAAGGGGAAAATAAAGCACTCCATACGAACACCCCACCCCACCTCTGCTGGTACACACCGCATGCTCCCTCTCCAGGGACACACGGGCGCAGACGTAGCTGTGGAAGAGAGGCAGGTAGTCAGCCATAATGACCCCCCACACCATCCCCCAACATCCACACCCCGCTGCCAGGGCCTGTCAGTGGCCAGCTTGGCCATTCCCAGGAGCGGACCCCACTGTCGGGAGGAGATCCGCCGCTCCTGCCGAAGCGTGGCCGGGAGAGAGAGAGAAAATAAAATAAGCCGGAGGTTCTCTGGGGAACCGTGAAGGGTGTGCGGGCGGTGCGCACGTTCCACGGCGCCTCAAAAACGCAAAAAAAAATAAAACACGCGGCCCCGGGCTCGGAGTCTGCGAACCGCCGCTGCCATCCACGGTCCCAACTCAGATCCCTGAGAGAAGGAGGGATCCACTCCCTCGTGGAGGGGATCCCTCCCCCACGCCACTCGGAGGTAAATCCGCACGTGTCTGGGCGATGGGTGAAGGGGAAGAGGTTAGGCTGTTCTGCCTCTCCAGGAGACGGTGCGTTATCCCGGGATCTCGCGCGCTGTTCCTGCGCCGCAGTTAAAATAAAAACAAACAAGGAGAGGGTTGCGGCTTTAACTGTATTGAAGCACGTCATGAAACGAGATGTTACTGAGGTACTAATCACCAACGGCTCCGATATCCCAGGATCACACCCTGGGCGAAGATTTTCCCCTCAGGAGAAACGAACGCTGATGGAAGTAGAGGGAGAGAGAGAGAGAGAGAGGGAGGGATCGCAAGGATTTCGCTGCAGCAGAGAGCGAGCCGTATCTATCAGCTTCAACAGGCCACTACAAACCCCAACTGAAGGCAAAACAAAACTAAAGCCCTCCATACGCACCTCGAGCAGCGTTTCCCCGCCCCCCAACACCTCAACATTCCTCCACACACTCCCTCCCCCCATCCCCTCCTCCAAATCCCTTCCCCTTCCTCAGCCAGAGCTGCACAGCCCTGACCCCAGCCTCCCCCCACCACCCCATCACAATGGAGGTGACACCGAGTAACAGTGAGGGGGACCGGGGGTTGCGGGGTGGGTGGGGGGGGGGGGGGGTGGGGGGGGGGGGGGGAGATGGCTGATTAGGGATGGAGTGACAGAGCAGCTACACGCCGGGCGAACACGGACCCTCAGGCACATCCTGAGCTCGAGTTGCAGGCTTCTTCCCCTCCCGATCTCCCCACCACTCCCCACCCCTACTCCCCTGCCGCCCCCACCCCGGCTCACCCTCCTGTCCACCCCATCTCCTCCCCTCCCCATTACTTTCGGCCTCTGGGAAAAGGAGTGAGGCTCGCGGTTCGCCGGGAGCCATGGCATCGCTCCCAGCGGTCGTGACGATGGAACCCGTGGCATTGCTCCTGGTGAGTGTTGACAGTGGAACCTGGGGAATTGCTCCTAGTGAAGTGTGATGGTGGAGCCCATGACATTGCCCCTGGTGAGTGTGACAGTGGAACCTGTGGAGTTGCTCCCAGTGAGTGTGATGGTGGAACCCGTGGCATTGCTCCTGGTGAGTGTGTCAATGGAACCTGTGGAATTGATCCCACTGAGTGTGACAGTGGAACCCATGACATTGCTCACACTGAGCGTGATACTGCACCTGTGTCAAATGCTCCCAGGGAATTTGATGGCACACCCATGGCCTTGCTTCTAGGAGATCTGATGGTGCATCTGTGGCATTGAAACCAAATGACTCTGATAGCGCACCGGTGTCATTGGCCCCAGTGTGTATAGTGGCGGACCATTGGCATCACTCACATTGATTCCAGTAGCTCTCCCGTGGCATTGCTTCCAGGGAATCTGATTGCTCACCAATGACGCTGCTCTTAGGAGGTTGATTGTCCACCACTGGTATTGCTCGTGGGGGGATTGATCGTCCACCAGTGGCATTGCTCGCAGTGAGTATGACAGGAGATACCAGTTGGTGAGACCGCACTGTGGGAGTGCCATTGCTGTGACAACACTTGAAGAAGCCTCGCAGTGGGATAAGGATGGCTCAAGGATCAGGATTTGGGCCCCTCGTTGCAGTGGATGGTAACCTGGGGTGTTTATTTTTTGTGTTTTATGCGTTCCAGGCAGAGATCGAGGATGGAGCGGAGGGCAACTGCGTTGAGCTGTACCTGAGGGCCCTGATCTCGGCGGTTTCCGACAACGATGAGACAGTGCGGAAGCAGGTGGAGTGGTCGCTGCGAAAGCTGGGTTGCCAGCGGCCACGGCAGCTCCTGAGGTATTGCTGCACCTGGCTGTTGGCTGGGCAGGGTCAGCGGGTATTGGACAGCGGGCTCCGAACCTCAGTCCTGCGGGGAGCAGGGCTGATCGCCAGCGAGGGGGCAGAGCGGGCGGGGACGCCCCTGGCCCAGGAGGTCATGGCGGTGGCCGTGGCAGAGCTGAGGCCCTCCGTCCGCCGGAGGCCTCAGGAGGCAGAGAGTGCGGCCGGAGAACTGCTGGCCTCCCTTGGCAGGGCCTACCCTGCTGAAGCCCTGGGCCTGGTGCTGGGCTCGCTGGTGACAGACGGCCCCCCTCGCCTCTCCCTCCTCAAGGCACTGGCCTCCCTGGTGAGGACCAATGCCCGGGGGTGCACCCCAGGACTCCCACCGATCCTTGGGGCGCTGCTTCGGGCCCTCGATCTGGAGAAGGATGGCGACCAGGTCCAGGCTCTCATCTCCACCATCGGCCTCCTCCACAGGAGCGTGACGGAGTACCTCGGGAGTCCCGGGGGACAGACCTCAGAGCCGGGCCTGGGCCGGGAGGCCTTCTCAGGACACGCCCGCACCTTCTACAGGGACCACCTCTCCAGGAGGCTGCCAGGGAAGGACCCCAACCTCAGGGCAGCCGTTCTAGAGGCCCTGGCGGACACGCTGCCCCTGCTGCCCCTGAACCAGGGGCTAGCGGAGGAGCTGCCTGGCCTGGTGACCCGGCTCCTCTCCCTCTACAGCAGGCCGCCCAGGGGGTCCCTGGTCACCCGTTGCCTGCTCTCGGCCCTGGGGCCCGCTGGGGGGGGCTCCTGCCCAGGCCTGAGGGCTCAGGCCCACCAGCTGATGGAGGCGGTGTGGGGGCAGCTGGGAGTGGTCGGCCCCTTCCCAGATGAGCCGGGGCACAGGGCCCTCCTCCTGGACTGCCTGGGCCTGATGGCCCGACTCTGGCCTCAGCCCGCAGCCCGGTTCCTCCTCCGCCTCCCCCCACCCCCCACAGCCCCGTCACCGGGCGGGCAAGGTGCACGCCTGAGGCCTGAGGCCTACCTGGAAGCCTTGGCCCAGCTGGTGGATGGAGTCCCCCTGTCGGAGGTGGAAGCTGAGGGAGGCGGAGGAGGAGGAGGAGGCCAGGTCCTGGCTGTGGTGGTGCAGACCATCCTCACATGCCACCCCTACCCTGCCCCTGGCGCGGGTCCTGGCTTGGAGGGGGCCGCGCTGGCGGCCGTGGGCAGCTTGGCCCGGCGGGGTTACCTGAGCCTTCCCGGAGGGGAGGCCCTGGTGGAGTTTGTGGTGAGCCTGTGCGCCAGGCCTGGAGAGGAGGTGAGGAGTTGGGGGGCTGCCGAGGGGCGCGATGTTCCGGGCAGGGCTGGGGCTGGCCCCCTGTTGGAGTGGCTGGCCTTGGTGGAGGGCTCGGAGAACATCCTGTGGGAGACGCTGCTCCGGTGTGTCCTGGTTGACGCCTACGCCCAGGCCTTGCCAGCTGTGTGTCGCTGCCTGGAGAGGTTGGCTCTCAGGGAACCCGGGAGACCTGGCCTCAGGGATGGGGCCCAGCACGGCCTCCCCTCGCCTGAGGGCCTCCTCATCAGGCTCCTCGCCGTCTCCTCCCTCCCAGGAGGCTGTGCCCCAGACGCCCTGAGGCTCCTCCTGGCCCTGGGCCCCAGCCTCCCCACGGCCGCACGGGGAGTGTGCCAGGCCGAGATACCCGGGATCCTCCTGGTGCTGCCGGGGGCCTGGGCTGGAGGCCGGGGAAGGGGTCGGTGCCGCTGGGAGGAGAGGGTGTGGTTACTTTTCCTGTCTGCCAGCGGCAACGACGAGGCCTGGGCCGAGCGGATGGGCCAGGAGGCCATGAGGCAGGCGGGCCGAATGGCGTGCGGGCCCTGGGAGAGGGGCTTCCTGCTCCGCGGGGCCGGTGGGCTGCTGAAGCAAACTGGGAGCCGGGAGCTGGTGAGGGCCCGGCTGCAGGAGATGCTGGGGGCGGTCCGATACCAACGGGCCCCAGAGGTGGAGGGCCTGGCCCGTGGGATCGGGCTGTGCGCTGCCCGGCACACGGACGAGGCACTGGAGGAGCTGGCACGCTTTGCCGGGAGCCTTCTGGGTCAGGGCAGCGGGGGGAGGGGCCGGGAGGAGGAGGCAGTCAGGAGCGGGATCATCCTGTGCTATGGGTGGGTGGCGCAGGGGGCTCCAGTTCAGCGCCTCCTGCCGGGCCTGGACGCTGAGCTGCTAAGACCTCTCCTCCTCCTGTACCAGGCGGGGGAGCCCCCAGGCTTGGGGGGCAAGGCCCAAGGCCTGGGCACAGGGCTGAGACTGGCCAGGGCCCTGGTCTGGGTTTTGCACCTCGCCCTGGGCAATGGGCAGCAGGTCTGCAGTCCTTGCCCCTCCAAGGGGGAGCTGCTTTGCTGCCTGCAGGAGCTGCTGGGGGCCCAACCCCTGGGGGGTTGCGCGAGCAGCCCCCTCCGACGTCACGCCCTGAAAGCCTGCAGCCTCCTCATCCAACTGGACCCTGCACTAGGCCGGGACAGCACTTTCCAGCTGGTGAGGAGGTGCGTGGGCAGCGTCATTGGACTTAGGCTCTCGGAGTGGCCTGCAGGGTCGGAGGAGGAGGGGTGGGAGGAAGACGAGGGCGAGGAAGAGGAAGAGGAGGAGTGCGAGGCCCTACTCCCTGACCTGACAGGCCAGACATTCCGCGCCCTGCGAGGCCTATTGGAGCAGGCCCTGCTCCAAGACCTAACGTGGGAGGGACTCGGGTTACTGCTCCGGGCCCTGGAAGGTTGGACGTTGTCGGTGGAGGCCCGGGAACGGGAGAGGTCTCTGGAGCTGATGGCTAAGCTGCTGGCTCTCTACCGGGAGAGGGCTGGCTGTCAGGTAAGGGATGGATGTCCCACTGGATACAGGCCCGAGGCCCTGCTTGGCCGGCTGCTACCCAGGTGCCTGGACCCTTCGGGCCCAGTCCGCCTCCAGGCCCTGGATTGCCTGCTGGAACTCTCCCACCTCCTTGGGCCAGGCCCAATGGTAGCCATCAGCCTGCAGAGGCTGGGGGAGCTCTGGGAGAAGGCAGGAGGGCCCAGCCGCCTGGGCCTGTGTTCGGAGCTGGCCAAGTCACTCTGCCAGGCCGTGCAAGGCCTGGGACTGAGCCCCCTACTGGCTGCCCTGTGCCAGGGCCTGAGGGACCCCCATCCAGAGGGAGCGGGGGCCTGTGCAGCGGTGCTCCACGCCATCGTCTGCGAACGGGGCCCAGAGCTGAGGGAAAAGGGAGACCCTGGACTGACGCTGCTGCTGAGGGAACTGTGGGCCCATCTTCGGGAGAGCAGACACCTCCACATCCAGCTGGTGGCCCTTCGCAGCCTGGCCCTGCTAGCTCGCTACCACCCAGAGCCTGCCCTCCACTTCCTCCTGGATTGCAGCCACGAGCCCAGGCCGGGGGAGGGCCGAAGGCTCTGGGCTGCCATGGGCTGGTGTCCCGGCCTGGCCCTCCGTCTGACAGAGCTGCTCCTGGAGAGGCTGAGAACCGGTCTGGCCCAGGAGGAGGCAGAGGAGGTCCAGGAGGAGGAGAGGAAGAGGAGGAAGGAGGCTGAGGCACTGGGCCATCTCCTGCCCCACCCAGGCCTGGGCCCTTCCCTGCCCACCATATACCCCAGTTCCTTCGCCATCCTGCTCCTGCTCTGCTCCCGCCAGGCCCTGGGCCTAGCCTTGGGCAAGGCATCACCATCCGAGAGGGCGGTGTCTCTGCTCAGGGTCCTGCTGACCCGAGGGGACAGGCCTGAGGTGGCCTCCTTGATGGAGGAGAGGGGAGGCTGGGAGCTGCTGAGGTCCCCAGGTTCCTACCAGCGAGGGATCTCGCTGCTGGCCGAAGCAATGGCCCGAGGGGCCAGTCCGCACCTGCCTGCCATCCTCGAGAGCCTCTCGTCGGCACTGGATGCCTGCAGAAGGGTAGGGGTGGGCCCGGGGAGGGGCGGGTCGCCCACCATGGCCACGGTGGCTGCCTTTTTCAGCCAGGCCGCCCAGTACCATCCCGCACTAGGCCTGGGACATGCCGACCTCCTGCTGAGTGGCCTCCTCCACTGCCTGCTCGACCCCTCGCTCTCCACCCGCCTCCTGGTCCTGAGGGGCTTCGGTAATGTGGCAGCCGCCCCCTCCCCTACCCCCGGGGAGACGGTGGGGCCCACCCGGAGACGCCGTTACACCACCAAGCTCCTGGCCGCTCTGCTGTCTGGCATGGAGGGGGCAGGCGAGGCTGGGCAAGGGCGAGAGGAGGAGGCCCAGGTGTTGCTGGAGGGCCTGAGGGCCTTGTCCAAGGTCTTGGCTCAATCGGAAGGCGATGGAGAGGGCCAGGGGACCCCTGGGGACATCCTGGTCAACCTGTGCCTGGGGATCCGACCTCTCTTCGAGGCCCAGTCAGCAACGGTGCGTGCGTCTGCCCTGTGCGTCTTTGGGGCCCTGTCTCGTTTCGCTGTCGGGTCCCGGAGGCCGGTTTACGTGGAGCAGCTCCGTTCCGTCCTGGTGGCCCTCCTGGTCTACGTCAATGATAGCAGCCTGGAGGTGGCACAGGCCTCGGGCCTGCTCCTGGCCTCGGTGAGGCCTCTCCTGGGCTGGGACGGCCTTCAGATGGAGTTGCCGCTGAAGGACGGCGCTCACGGATACCAGGCCTTCCTGAGCCAGCTGAGCCGGTCCGGCCTACACCAGGGGCCTGGCTACACCAAGACCTACCTCAGCAGTGGGCTGCGTTTCTGTAGCCACCCGCGCCCACAGCTCCGCGCTAATGCCATCGCCATCACCGGGCAGCTGCTGAGGAACATGCCCAAGGACAGCAGGCACCCCCTGGGGGACGATGAGCAGCTCGTCCACAGGACCATCACCTCGATGATCAGGGATCCAGCCCCCATGGTCCGACTTCAGGCAGCTAGAACCATCAGCCTCTTCTTCTCCTAGCAACGCCGTCAGCTGGGCCCAACCTGGGAAGGTGGGCTCACACAAGGACCCACTCATCACCAGGAGAGGATCCTTCATTCCCAATGCTCAATTTGACCCTCTACTCCAACCGTCCCCCATGGTGTAGGCAATGCCCCCCATGAGGTAGACGACCCCCTACCCAGCCTGGAATAGACCACCTTCCCATGGAGTAGACCACCTTTCCATGGAATAGACCACCCCCTACCCAGCCTGGAATAGACCACCTTCCCATGGAGTAGACCACCTTCCCATGGAGTAGACCACCTACCCATGAGCTAGACCACCCCCTACCCAGCCTGGAATAGACCACCTTCCCATGGAGTAGACCACCTTTCCATGGAATAGACCACCCCCTACCCAGCCTGGAATAGACCACCTTCCCATGGAGTAGACCACCTTCCCATGGAGTAGACCACCTACCCATGAGCTAGACCACCCCCTACCCAGCCTGGAATAGACCACCTTCCCATGGAGT